AGGCTATCAAATCACTGCAACACATAAACCAGAAGTGGGGTGTAATTTCTCAGTATCAGTACTTGTAAGTCTTGTTCCTTGTTACTGAACAGTTTGAAGCATGGCATTACACTCTACAGACTACAGACAGGAGAAGCACAGGAGGAAAAAAGGAACAGTTTAATTGCTGGATTTTCCAATACACTTAGTACTCTTACAGAGATGCAATGCCTTATTCAGTTAAAATTATTATTGACTGCATTGCTATTATATGAAAAATATTATATAGCCTATTTCCTAATAAAATTAGAGAACTATTTTGATAGATACACATGTACATGACATATATCAGTAAATCTTAAGAGTGTGCTAGGGTATTGTCACGTGTCACAAACTAATTGTTAGCATGCTTCGAGATATATACTAAGGCAGGGAGAAATTAAAGTTAGTTGTAATCCTTTAGAAAAAAAATCTGGGGTAAAAATTCTGAACTCCACATTTGGGCAACACTTTTCACTAGTTATCTCAGCAAACTGGTAGTGAAACTTTTCATATTTTTTGTTCCGTTGCTGGCTGACTCACTTGAGCTTGGGGGAATAATTTGAAGTTGTGGGAATGGGGAGCTTCCAAAGGCCACAATTCCATGTTCCTACCAATCCTAAATTTGGAGAGGAATCCCCCCCCCAGGTTTTGTTTAGTTTTGTACATTTTGAAAAACCAAATAATAAAGAATGGCTTTCAGCTTCTCAGAAGCAGGTTGTGCTATAATAATCAAAGCTTACCTGGTTAGTACTTTGGTGTGGGTGTGAATCACACTGAGGGCTTCCTTAAAACTTCCATTTTGGATAAGACACACCACTTTGCAGTGGAGAGCAGTCACATCATCCTTGGTGATTTGCAATACTACAAAAAACAAATCCAGTGTATTAGTCTATTAAAAAGACCCATTACCAATGTCTTACAAAACTTCAGTCTTCCCCAATTTGGTGCCCTCCACATGTTTCAGACTATAACTTTCATCACTACTGGTAATGCTGAGATAAGCTGCATGGAGTTATAGTCCAAATAATCTGGTAGGCACCAGGTTCAGGCAAGTGAGATAACTGTAGAACTTTTCAAACTGTGATCCTGGAAATGCAGGAGTGCCTTGGATTCTTATTAAGGGTTTCTTAGTAAGAAATGAAAATGTGTCTAAAATTGTATCATATTGCTGGCCACACTTCCCTAATATTCCTTTGCAATGCATAGCTATGGAAAAATGCTGAATGCATTCAAGGAGACGGTTCATGCAATATGATATTGAGGCACCAAAAACTAAACCAATGCCCAAGAAGAGATTCTCAAGCCATGAGTTCAAAACACACTGCAGAAATAATCCAGGTTGAGACTGCTTTAATTGCCTTGGCTCAATGCTAGGAAATTCTGGGAACTGTAGTTTTGTTAGACATTTATCCTTTTTTGTCAGAAAGGTCTGGTGCTATAATAAACTACAATTCCTAGGATTCCCTAGCACTGAGCCAGGACAGTTAAAGCGGTCTCAAACTGGATTATTTCTGCAGAGTGTTTTGGATCATGGTCTCCAGATCACTGGTTGTCTGCAAATTTAATTTAGTTAATCTGTAGAAAGGGTGCAGAAGAATCAAGCATATTTTTACTTAGCTCTTCACTTAGTTTACATTTTCTAAAGAAGGACATCAAAATCATTTTGATCAGGCCCAGATTATAAAACATGGGCCTTAACAAGGACCATTAATCTTCACAGAAGACTATACTAGCAGTGCATTAACTTTTTCTTAAAAAATGACCTGTTAAAAGGGTTCTTTAAATGATCTGGTCTAGAATTTATGATTTTCATAACAGGGTTCTGTTTTTTGACAATGTGTGTGACACTGCAGAATTTTTATAAAATTAAACTGTGAGTTATTTGCTTTGATTTATAAAACAAATAAAGTTAAGTGGTCCTCCAAGACCAATGCTAAGAACCATGTGGCTCTCCCGATGTTGGACTCCAACTTCTTAGCCACCACAGACAATGGTGAGGATTGCTGGGCATTGCAGTGCAAAATCTAGAGGGCTGCATGATTCTAACTCTCAACAATTTTTATATACTCTAGGAACAGAAAGTTTGAGAATTGCCCTAGATCTCTCCATAGTCTACTGATGCTAAGGGAATATGACCATTATGTACTTATTGTGATACTGTTGTTTTCTATAATGGTAGGACGACATCCTTAAGGCAGACTGCCTCTCCCACTTGGAGTGAGTGAAACAAGGGTTTCATGACATAGTAAAATTCAAGCGTTAATCCACCTGGCCAAGGTGACAGGAAACCTGGTACCCAAGTGTCCTAGGCTGAAAGTATATGAAAAGCAAGTCTGACAGGAGGAAGCCCTTGTTGCATTTAAATAGATCTTAGCAGCTCTGTGATTATGCTGTACCATAACCATTCCAACTGATCCTGTGGGTGGGGGCAAAAGGAGGGCAGGAAGAAGTCTTGGGACCTGTAAAAGGTAGAATTACCTTGGGAGTGAAAGTAGCATCTCAGTATAGAACTGAGTCTTTGTGAAAAGCACACAGTTTCTCTGTAGTTGAGAGAGACCCTAGTTCTGAAAAACATCTGGCGGGAACAGAACATCATGGTCACAGGGAACAGAACTTTCCATTAGAGCTGCTTGAGAGAAGCCAATGTTAATGGTTCAAAGGGAGGCTGGTTCAAAGTGTCTTTAGGACTTTGTGAAGATCTCAGATGGGAAATCTGTGAATAGCAGTAGGCTTCAAGATATAAATGCTCCAGAGAAAATGGGAGGATGGGAGACAAATGATTTTTCCTGGCTTTCTAGGAAAATCAAGGAGATAGCAAAAGCCTCCTTACAAAGGGTCTTGGGCAGAAGCTCTTCTCCAGACCTTCCTGTAGGAAGGAGAGAAGAGCTGCTGAGAGAGGCCTTTTCATCAGTACTATCAGCAAAAGCCTTTCCACTTACATTCACAGATCTTGAGCTTGCTTTGTGTTAGAGGGGTGCCTGTTCAGTATCTATATGTGAAGTTGAAGCTACTCTGGGTTTGGGTGGAAAATTGCCCCCCTGCTGAGTAGGTCAGGTCTGAGAGGCAATGGAAAATGCTCTATAGCCAGGTTTAGGAGGGCTAAGAACCAAGGTCTCTGAGGCCATTTGGAGGCTACCAGGATGAGCACCCTCCCCACAACCTGCTGTAAGAGTCTGTTAGAAAGGGGAAGGGGGGGATGTGAAAAGGAGCCCAGAGGACAAGGTGCCATGAGAGAGTCGAAGTTCTCTGTTCCCTAGGAGAGAAAATGGGAGAAGCGGCACTCCACTTTCCTGTTGGATTCGCAGGAAAATAGGTCCACTAGGGCACATCCCAGGCACGATGAAGGACCACTCGGAGTTGTCAACATCCATCTGACTCAACCAGTCTACTTCCATGCCCATATCATAAAATTATAAGAGTCAGGAGAGATCCCAAGGGCCATCCAGTCGAACCCCCATTCTGCCATGCAAGAACTCACAATCAAAGCACCGCCAATAGATGGCCATCCAGCTTCTATTTAAAAACCTCCAAAGAGGAGGCTCCATCACTCTCCGATGGAGAGTCTTCCACTGTCCAACAGCTCTTACTGTCAGGGCATTCCTCCTAACATTTAGGTGGAATCTCTTTTCCTGTAGCTTGCATCCATTGTTCCAGGTCCTACTCTCTGGAGCAGCAAAAAACAAGCTTACTCCATCCTTAATATGACATCTCTTCAAATATTTAAACAGGGCTATCATATCAACTCTTAACCTTCTCTTCTCCTGGCTAAACATACCCAGCTTCCTAAGTCTCTCCTCATAGGGCATGGTCTCCAGACCTTTGTCCAGATGAGTTCAGCCTCTGGGGACTCAAGATTTTTTCCCCACTAGTACACAGTGACAGGCCAGGATTTGCATGAAACCCTGCCTTGTTGTGTTGTGCATCCATTGTCTCAAGCAAGTTACTCTCATAGAGAACGAATACCTTGAAGCACCACATCATACAAACATACAACTGTGGCACCGATGATGCAGTCATGTTGAGATGCTTGTTACAACAGAGCTAAGTAAATTTTCCATATCTTTAACAGCTGTATATGAAAGAACAATGCAAAAGAAAAGCTTTTGACAGCATACAAGTGCAACAATGAAAGAATCTTTTAACATGCATTCCAGTTCTGCCAGAAATATAGCAACAATACTTTCAGATTTTTCTGAAGTGTTCAAAATGGTCATTAACCTCAATGTACCCATTAAACAATAATCTGTACCCCCCAAAAAGGTTAGCAATTAGTTATCCCTGTCACCAAGGAAATTTTAATGGGAAGCAAACACTTAACACAAAATCAGCATGGAAATCCATATTTGTGGCCAGGCCATGGACAAAAACAAGAGGAAATGGCTAAGAGCAACAGACCAAGAAAGAAAACTAACTCATTTTAGATGTGGTGTTGCAGAAGAGTGCTGAGGATCCCATGGACAGCCAAAAAGACAAACAAATGGGTAATTGAACAGATCAGGCCTGAGAGCTCCCTGGAAGCCAAGATGACTAAATTGAGACTGTTGTACTTTGGCCATATCACGAGAAGGCACAACTCCTTAGAGAAGATAACAATGCTGGGAAAGGTGGAGAGAAGGTGAAAGAGAGAAAGACCTCATGCTGATGGTTAGATGCAGTAAGAGAGACCATGGGCCTACAGGAACTAAGCAGAACAGTGGAGGACAGGGGGGCTTGGAGATGTCTCATTCACAGGGTTGCCATGAGTTGAAATTGACTTGGGGTACTTAACAACAACCATAACCATCAGACCTAGTATTTCACCTCTGTCACAAACACATTGTTGTTGTTGTTGTTGTTGTTGTTGTTGTGTGTCTTCAAGTTATTTCTGGTGAATCCTATGCTGGGGTTTTCTTGGCAGGATTTGTTCAGAGGAGGTTTGCAATTGCCTTCCTCTGAAGCTGAGAGAGTGTGACTTGCCCAAGATCACCCAGTGGGTTTCATGGCTGAGCAGGGAATTGAACCCTGGTCTCCAGAGTTGTAGTCCAATACTCAAAGCAATACGCCACACTGGCTCTCCACAAATACATTAAGGTGGCCTTAAAATCACAGAGTTGGAAGAGGCCATGAGGGCCATCCACTCCAAACTCCCCCTTCTGCCATGCAGGAACTCACAATCAAAGCACCCTCTGTGACAGAAGGCCTTAAAGGAGGCGTGGGAATCCTGCCGCCCTCCAGATGTTACTAGTTCTGTGGCAGCCATTTTACGAACGAGGGGCTCCAGATATCATCACCGTAAAGGAGGACAAGGAGCCTCGAAATGGAGAGCATTCGAGGACAAAATGGAGGACATGACCAACTAAGAGCTAAAAACACTCATAGAAAGGTAAATGCCATGCTTCCTAGCCATGCTCAAAATGGAGGAAGTTTTGGATATCTTCCTGGACAGAAGGTTGAAATGGAGGGCGCGTCCGGGAAATGGAGGACATGGCTGGCCACCCTCATCCGGGAAAGGGCCCCAGTCGGAGACCAAGGCGAGGCCCCTCCGCTCGCTCGGTCACTCACTCTTATTGACGGACTTGAGGGCGCGGCCGAAGTCCCCATTCTGGCCGCAGCGACTCACGTCGCTCCACAGCGAAGCCACCGAAGCAGCCCCCGCTGCCCCAGACCCACTTCCGCTCCCTGCGCCGGCCGCCATCTTGGCGGAGGTAGACAGGAGGGGTGGAAAGAAGCCCACAGTAACCTCCTCACCCGGAAGTGGATCCACAACACGTCGTCATGTTCAAGTGTATCGTCTCTATGGTACGAGCCGAAAGGAGCGCCTCCGTGGCCTCGGCAACAGGTGCGCATGCGCAACCAGAAAGCCACGGCGGGGTCGAGCCCAGAGCGGCAACATGAAGAGCTGGGAGTACCTCCATGGCCTCGGAAACCCTTGCGCATGCGCAACCAGAGAAGCACGGTGGGACGGGGCTATAACAGTTCCATGTAGGCGACAGGGCGTTTGTTGACCGTTCCGCTCTGCAGAAATATTCTAGTTTCACACCACTTTAACTGCCATGGCTCCATGCTATGGAATCCTGGGAATTGTAGGTTGTTGTGGCTCCAGAGCTCTCTGACAAAGAAGGTTCAATGTCTCACAAAACTACAATTCCCTGAATTCCTTAGCATTGAGCCAGGGCAGTTAAAGCGGTCTCGAAATGGATTATTCCTGCAGTGTGGACGCAGCCTCAGTCGTGACTCCGCGGACCTGGTTCCTCTGTCTGTGGTCCAAAACACACTGCAGAAATAATCCAGTTTGAGACTGCATTAGCTGCCCTGGCCCCTTGCTCAGTGCTATGGAATTCTGGGAACTGTAGTTTTGTGAGACATTGAGCCTTCACAGTCAGAGAGCTCTGGTTACACAATAAACTACGATTCCCAGGATTCTCTAGCACTGAGCCAGGGCAGTTAAAGCGGTCTCGAAATGGATTATTTCTGCAGTGTGTTTTGGACCTATAACAATTTAAAAAAAAAAGTCTTCCTAATGTTGGGAATCAGTGTATTTTGGACCACGGCCTCTATTATCCCATTTCCAGATCACAATCAGATTTGTGAGACTTTGTTTTATGTTAATATAAAAGCTTAAAGCCAGACTGTGGTAGAGCGTGTAATATTTTATGTATGTATAAAGAGGATTTTACCCCCTAACGTTGTTTATTCTACTATCTTCGTAGTCTCCTAGGAACACGTACCAATCTGCTATGGGCAAACAGGCCATGGGTGTTTCTATCACCAACTTTCATGTCCGGATGGATACACTTGCCCATGTGCTGTATTATCCTCAGAAACCCCTTGTGACGACACGCTCAATGGAATACCTAAGATTCAGAGAGTTACCAGCAGGTAGGTTTGCAAGTCACTCACCATAAGGCCTGCTGAGAAGCAAGTCAGTGCCTCAGCCCCATGCCCCTGGAGCTGAGGAGCCACAAGCAGATCTTGTAGCCAGTGGCATCCCTAGGGTTGGTGTCACCCAGTGCGGTCACTCATGGTGTCACACACACCCCCCCCATTGGCTTCCTCCTCCTATTTCACACCATACAGAATCCTAAGGAATGCCTTTTTTTGCACTAATATTTCTTGTAAATCATAATTCCCATCTACCACTGAATGTAATGCTGATAGTTGTGACATAAACAACTAGCAAAATTAAAAATTATACCTTCCAATTACAATATCATACACACATTCTAAATGTATTTACAGCTACATAGGAAAGACTGGGTTAAAATGTGAGGTTTTTAAAGAAAATTGTAAAAGATTTTAAAAAAAATGTGAAATTTTAATTTAAAAAATTCTGGGGCCTGTCCTTTCCCCTCCCACTGAGCTTCACCCCACTCCCATTACCTCTTAAAGCATTTTAAAAAGAAGCAGGTGAATGCCACAGCCCATTTCTGCCAAAAGGTAGGTGTTTGAGGAGCAGTGGTGTCACCCCACTTCAGGGTCTCATCTGGTGCGGTCCGTACCTCCCGCACAGCTGCACCCCCCAGCGATGCCACTGTTTGTAGCGTACACACATCTTTCTCAAAACCTCTATACACATGTCTTGGAAGCCCAGGGCTTTTCCTTTACAAATTACTGCACAACCCTCTTACAGTGTTGCTATTGCACTTTTACTGCTCTGGCTGCCTCCTGTTGCATTTTGGGATTTGCAGTTTAGGGAGTGACATCTAGAATACTCAGCCAAGGAGCTCTTAGGCCTCACCGAACTACTAAACCCCAGAATGCAGCAGGAGGCAGCTTGAGCAGTAAAAGTGGAAAGCAGCACCATAAGAGTGTAGTGCGGTAATATCTGAAAGAAAGAAGTTGGTGGCATGAGCTTTCATAGACTTGAGAGGATTTCCACTCCATCTGGCCAAATTTGGTGCTTTCTATGGTGCTAGAATTCAAACACATAGATTATAGATTAGTATTCCCCTTCAAAAAGCTAATTATGTGAACAAAATGTTTCTAATTCCTAAAGTGATGATACCGGCTTTAAAATAATAAGTGTAAAAGAAAAGGAAAATGAGGCTGTTTCTGTATTTTCTTCCTTTCAAAGACATAGCCATGTTAGCCTGGAAAATCAATATGCAAAGGAATAGCTCATGCTACCAACTTCTCTCTTTAAGTTCATTTCAAAGGTGCTACAAGATCCCTTTGCATACTAATTTTCCAAACTAACACAGCTATGTCTTTGACTGTAAGAAAATAAAGAGCCTCATTTTCCAACCCTTCTATATTTATACCATAATGTTGTAATGCTATCATTATAGGAATTAGAAAAAAACATTTTGTTCACATGGTCTCTAGGGCTGCATCTGCACTGCAGAAATAATCTGGTTTGACACCACTTTAACTGCCATCGGTCAACCCTATAGAATTTTGGGATTTGTAGTTGGTTGAAGTTCTGGTGCCAGAACTACACTTACCAGAATTCCGTAGCATTGAGACGTGGCAGGAGAAGACTGCACTGCACTCTTTTAGTGCTGCTCTACCACGTTTACTGCTCTGGCTGCCTCCTGTTGTGTTCTGGGACTTGCAGTTTAAGGAGGAGCATTTAAAATTCTCAGCCAGAGAGCTCTTAGGCCTCACTGAACTGCAAGGCTCAGAATGCCACAGGAGGCAACCAAAGCAGTTAAAGTGGAATAGCAACACTTTTAAGAGTGTAGTACAGTATTCTCCCGTTAAAAGTGGTGTCAAACTGGATTATTTTTGCAGTGTGGATGCAGCCTAGATTTTTGAAGGGGAAGACTGATTGCAGAACTTTTATCTTCAGCATATAATCTTCACCACTTAAGCCCACCTAGCTCTCATCCTCCTTCCTGTTATCTGTACACCTGCAGAACTGCTGGGCATCTCCAGTCGTTTCTCCACTGGCACCAGCACACGCCACCTACCTCTGTAGCCTCCAGTACTTTGCAGGTGGTTGATAAGGCACTCTTGTGAATGTGAAATATTTCTTCACCAAGGATTATTGCATCAAGGTATAGGGATGCAGTGGCTCAAATGGTTAAGACGCTGACTCTGTTGATTGCAAGATAGGCAGGTTGGCAGTTCGAGGCCCAGGTGCTGCATGATGGAGTGAGCTCCTGTCACTAGTCCCAGCTTCTGCCAACCTAGCAGTTCGAAAGCATGCAAATGCAAGTAGATAAATAAGTACTCCAGTAGGAAGGAAAACAGCATTCTGTGCAATCATGCTGGCCACATGATCACAGAGGAGTCTCTGACAACGCCAGCTCTACGGCTAAGTAACAGAGATGAGCACCACACCCTATGGTTGGACACGACAACCATGTCAACCTTTACCTTTTTACCTGTGATTACATAGAATCATAGAGATGGAAAAGACCACAAGGCCCATCCAGTCCAACCTCCTGCTATGCAGGAACTCACAATCAAAGCACCCCCAACAGATGGCCATCCAGCCTGTTTAAAAGACCTTCAAGAAGGAGATTCCACCACTCTCTGAGGCAGTGTCCTCCACTGTCGAACAGCTCTTACTCTTAGGAAGTTCTTCCTAATGTTTAGGTGGAATCTTTCCCTGTAGCTTGCCTCCACTGTTCTGTGTTCTAGTCTCTGGAGCAGCAGAAAACAAGCTTGCTTCATCTTCAATGTGACATCCCTTTAAAAAAACAGAGCCAACATATCACCTTTTACATACTGAAGACTGTTGTGTGTATGTTGTGTGCCTCCCAAGTCATTTTTAACTTATGATGATGCTAAGGCAAACCTATCATGGGGTTTCTTGGCAAGATTTGTTCAGAGGTTTGCCACTGCCTTCCCCTGAGGCTGAGAGCATGGGAGTTGCCCAAGGTCACCCAGTAGGTTTCATGGCTGAACTGGGAATTAAATCCTGGTCTCCAGAGTTGTAGTCCAACCACTTTAGTCTGTTCTGCAATTTGCTCTTTTATTTATATGTGTCTATGAATACCTTATGGTCAGGAAGATGTTTACTCTTACCGGAATCTCTCAATTCCCTGGGATTCCCAAGACCAATATTACACAAAGGTGTAAATTGTAGATGGTTTTGGGCATATCTGGCTCCACCTTTCCCTCT